CATTAATTTTGATCGTCAATTGTGGCCCTGCCCTACCCAAGGGGTCATGATTTGCACAAACTTGAATTTACTATACCTGAGGATGTTTCCACATAGGTTTCATCTTTCCTGGCTCAGTGATCACTGAAAAGAAGAAGTTTAATTTTTTCCTATATATTCCTAAAGTAAAACTTTATTCGTCAATTGTGGCCATGCCCTAACGCCGGGGTCATGATTTGCACAAACTTGAATCTACACTACCTGAGGATATTTCCATTTAAGTTTCATCGTTTCTGGCCCATTGGTTCTTGAGAAGTAGGTTTTAAAAAAGCCATTATTTTTTCACTAATTCTTAATTATCTCCCCTTGAGGAGGGCGAGGCCCTTCATTTGAGCAAACTTGAATTCCCTTCACTCAAGGATACTTTGGGGCAAGTTTGGTTGAAATTGGTTCAGTGGTTCTTGAGAAGAAGTCGAACAAGAGGCCCATGGGCCACATCGCTCACCTGAGCACTAAGGGTAGGAAAAATTAGAAAATGGCTTTTTATTGTAAAGTTTAAATCAAAAAGTAGTCCCATGAGCAATCATGTATTTGCTATTTTTTAGAAAATTATTTTTAAAGAATTTTCCTATATATATCTTTAAAAACTTTGGTCGGCCATTTTTGGCCTCGCCCTACCCCTGCGGTCATGATTTGAACAAACTTGAATCTACACTACTTGACAATGCTTCCATATAAATATGATGAATTATGGCTTTGTCATTCTTGGGAAGAAGATTTTTAAAGAATTTTCCTAAATATTTCTATGTAAAACTTTGGTCGGCCATTTTGGCCCCGCCCTACCCCCAGGGGTCATGATTTGAACAAACTTGAATCTACACTACCTGAGCATGCTTCCATATAAATATGATGAATTATAGCTTTGTCATTCTTGGGAAGATGTTTAACAATTTTTCTTAAATATTTCTATGTAAAGCTTGGTCGGCCATTTTGGCTCTGCCCTACCCCTGGGGGTCATGATTTGAACAAACTTGAATCTACACTACCTGAGCATGCTCCCATATAAATATGATGAATTATGGCTTTGTCATTCTTGAGAAGAAGATTTTTAAAGAATTTTCCTAAATATTTCTATGTAAAACTTTGGTCGGCCATTTTGGCCCTGCCCTACCCCGGGGGTCATGATTTGAACAAAATTGAATCTACACTACCTGAGCATGCTTCCATATGAATATGATGAATTATGGCTTTGTCATTCTTGAGAAGAAGATTTTTAAAGAATTTTCCTAAATATTTCTATGTAAAACTTTGGTTGGCCATTTTGGCCCCGCCCTACCCCCAGGGGTCATGATTTGTTCAAACTTGAATCTACACTACCTGAGCATGCTTCCATATAAATATGATGAATTATGGCTTTGTCATTCTTGAGAAGGAGATTTTTAAAGAATTTTCCTATATATTTCTATGTAAAACTTTGGTCGGCCATTTTGGCTCTGCCCTACCCCCGGGGGTCATGATTTGAACAAACTTGAATCTACACTACCTGAGCATGCTTCCATATGAATATGATGAATTATGGCTGTGTCATTCATGAGAAGAAGATTTTTAAAGAATTTTCCTATATATTTCTATGTAAAACTTTGGTCGGTCATTTTGGCCCCGCCCTACCCCTGGGGGTCATGATTTGAAAAAACTTAAATCTACACTACCTGAGGATGTTTCCCCATAAGTTTCATCTCTCCTGGCACAGTGGTTCTTGAGAAGAAGATTTTTAAAATATGCCACCAAATTTTCATTAATTCCCAATTATCTCCCCGTGAATGAGGGCGTTGCCCTTCATTTGAACAAGCTTGAATCCCCTTCACCAAGGATACTTTGTGGCAAGTTTGGTTGAAATTGGCCCAGCGGTTCTTGAGAAGAAGTCGAAAATGTGAAAAGTTTACAAACAGACAGACAGACAGACAGACAGACGGACAGACGGACGCCGGACAAAATGTCATCAGAAAAGCTCACTTGAGCTTTCAGCTCAGGTGAGCTAAAAAGTGAAAAGTTTACAGACAGATGGAAAGACAGACGGACGCTGGACAAAATGTGATCAGAAAAGCTCACTTGAGACTTCGGCTCAGGTGAGCTAATGCTCATTAGGGCCCCGCCCTAACACCGGAACCCCTGACCCACGGCCCTGAAATTCATACATTGGAAAGAAGTATCCTTCCTCATGATAACTATGTGCATTGTTAATTGGTTTGATACCAATAATAAAACCAGAAGTCTCTGTCGAGACTGTAGCTCTACTGGTTTATACTTAAAACAAAGGAAGAGAAAAGTAGCAGTTGGGACTTGAGACTTTAAATCAGCAATAAATAGAACCAGAAGTCTCTGTCGAGACTGTAGCTCTACTGGTTTGTACTTATCAAAAACCATTGCACTATTTTATGTATCTTTGTGTAGTCTACTTGTGTGCCAACTTTAATAATACTTTGAAATCAAACTAAAACTGTAGAAGGAGTAGCGTTTTAAAGGAATTTCACAGAGAATTCTATTTATAGTAACCATGGCAACACCGTTCATCGAAATCAAAAACCGATGCACTATTTTATGTATCTTAGTGTAGTCTACTTGTGCGCCAAGTTATTTTGAAATCAGACCAACACTGTAAAAGGAGTAGCGTTTTAAAGGAATTTCACAGAAAATTCTATTTTTAGTAACCATGGCAACACGGTTCATCGAAATCAAAAACCGATGCACTATTCTATGTATCTTAGTGTAGTCTACTTGTGTGCCAAGTTATACTGATATCAGACCAAAACTGTAGAAGGAGTAGCGTTTTGAAGGAATTTCACAGAAAATTCTATTTTTAGTAACCATGGCAACTACGTTCATCAAAATTATAAACCGATGCACTATTTTAAGTATCTTAGTGTAGTCTACTTGTGTGCCAAGTTATATTGAAAGCAGACCAAAACTATAGAAGGAGTAGCGTTTTAAAGGAATTTCACAGAGAATTCTATTTTTAGTAACCATGGCAACACCGTTCATCGAAATCAAAAACTGATGCACTAGTCTATGTATCTTAGTGTAGTCTACTTGTGTGCCAAGTTATATTGAAATCAGACCAAAACTGTAGAAGGAGTAGCGTTTTAAAGGAATTTCACAGAGAATTCTATTTTTAGTAACCATGGCAACACCGTTCATCGAAATTAAAAACCGATGCACAATTTTATGAATCTTAGTGTAGTCTACTTGTGTGCCAAGTTATTTTGAAATCAGACCAAAACTGTAAAAGGAGTAGCGTTTTAAAGGAATTTCACAGAGAATTCTATTTTTAGTAACCATGGCAACACCGTTCATCTAAATTAAAAACCGATGCACTATTTTATGTATCTTAGTGTAGTCTACTTGTGTCCCAAGTTATACTGAAATCAGACCAAAACTGTACAAGGAGTAGCGTTTTAAAGAAATTTCACAGAAAGTTCTATTTTTAGTAACCATGGCAACACCATTCATCGAAATTAAAAACCGATGCACTATTCTATGTACCTTAGTGTAGTCTACTTGTGTGCCAAGTTATATTGAAATCAGACCAAAACTGTAGAAGCAGTAGCGTTTTAAAGGAATTTCCCAGAGAATTCTATTTTTAGTAACCATGGCAACACGGTTCATCGAAATCAAAAACCGATGCACTATTCTATGTATCTTAGTGTAGTCTACTTGTGTGCCAAGTAATATTGAAATCAGACTAAAATTGTAGGAGGAGTAGCGTTTTGAAAAATTGTTTACAGACAGACGGACAGACAGACAGACAGACGGACGGACGCCGGACGCATTACTATCGGATAAGCTCTTCTGGTCTATGACCAGTAGAGCTAAAAATGATCCTTGCCACTCATCAAAATAAAAACCAATGCACAGAATTATGTATCTTAGTATATTCTACTTGTGTGCCAAGTTATACTGAAATCAGACCAAAACTGCAGGAGGAGTAGCATTTTGAAAGAATTTCACAGAAATTTCTATTTTTAGTAACCATGGCAACATTGTTCATTGAAATCAAAAACCGATGCACAGAATAATGTATCTTAGTGTAGTCTACTTGTGTGCCAAGTTATATTGAAATCGGACCAAATCTGTAGGAGTAGCATTTTGAAAGAATTTCAAAGAAATTTCTATTTTTAGTAACCAAGGCAACACCGTTCATCGAAATCAAAAACCGATGCACAGAATTATGTCTCTTAGTGTAGTCTACTTGTGTGCCAAGTTATAATGAAATTGGACCAAAACTGTAGGAGGAGTAGCATTTTGAAAGATTTTCACAGAAATTTCTATTTTTAGTAACCACGGCAACACCGTTTATCGAAATCAAAAACCGATGCACAGAACTATGTATCTTAGTGTAGTCTACTTTTGTGCCAAGTTATACTGAAATCGGACCAAAACTGTAGGAGGAGTAGCATTTTGAAAGAATTTCACAGAAATTTCTATTTTTAGTAACCACGGCAACACCGTTCATCGAAATCAAAAACCGATGCACAGAATTATGTATTTTAGTGTAGTCTTCTTGTGTGCCAAGTAATATTGAAATTGGACCAAAACTGTAGGAGGAGTAGCATTTTGAAAGAATTTCAAAGAAATTTCTATTTTTAGTAACCACGGCAAGAGCGTTCTTTGAAATCAAAAACCGATGCACAGAATTATGTATCTTAGTGTAGTCTACTTGTGTGCCAAGTTATATTGAAATCGGACCAAATCTGTAGGAGGAGTAGCATTTTGAAAGAATTTCAAAGAAATTTCTATTTTTAGTAACCACGGCAACACCGTTCATCGAAATCAAAAACCGATGCACAGAATTATGTATCTTAGTGTAGTCTACTTTAGTGCCAAGTTACATTGAAATCAGACCAAAACTGTAGGAGGAGTAGCATTTTGAAAGAATTTCACAGAAATTTCTATTTTTAGTAACCACGGCAACACCGTTCATCGAAATCAAAAACCGATGCACAAAATTATGTATCTTAGTGTAGTTTACTTGTGTGCCAAGTTATATTGAAATCGGACCAAAACTGTAGGAGGAGTAGCATTTTGAAAAATTGTTTACAGACAGACGGACGGACGACGGACGCATTACTATCGCATAAGCTCTTCTGGTCTCTGACCAGTAGAGCTAAAAACTAGTGATTTATTATAGGTAATTATAATTTTCTCTTAGAAGTGTCACACACGAAGCTGAGTCTAATGTAACCTATAAAAATTCTTTGCAACAGAACACATTCGACCGCTTATAAAATATTATAAGGCATATCATTGGATAAACCACTCTGCCTTGAATTTATACGACTTTTAGCGCTAATAATGCCAAAGAACTGTGCGATCAAAACATACTTCTAAGCCTTTGAAATAAGAAAATGTTAACATATACTGCTAATGAACTTACTATTCTTATCAAACTGTACTATGATACAATTAATTTTGTATAATAGTCATTATACACAACTTTTTGTTCACTTAATGATATATTGTAGATTCCTTTTTCCCCCCAGTACTTATTATCACGAACGGCTCTTTAACGTCAAATCGCGAGAAGGATAATTGGACGGTTGATCAAGAGATTTTTCAAAGATTTTTTAATCGCTTAAAAAAAGCAAATTTTATTTCACATGTGTTTCTCGCTAAATTACGCGATAATTCGCCTTTATTTGGGAATCTACATTATATGCAGGATGTAGTTGTTCAGTTCTTTGATTAATGCAATTGCGCAGAGCAAAACATCAAAGGTGGGATCAGGTGCCATGGAGGAGTGAGCATCCCCTGCCTAGCGGTCACACCCGCCGTGTGCTCCTTCTAATGATTGGGAAATAACGGGAAAATCCATCGTCAATTCCATGTATAATCAATTGACTAACAATTAGTATGAAAAACGTCAATCAGCATTTGACGCAATGATCAATGGTATTTGCTGACATGGTCATTGTATCGACTAGACCATAGAATTTACAAATTGATGACTTTAACCGAGACTGCTGATATCCTTGTTTCATTCACTTGTTTGTCAATAATTTACCCCATTTTAGAGATTGTTCATACGTAGAATATGCTCTTTCATATGTTATCAACTGAGATATATAAACTCCGTATGCAGGTGATGAAGGTACATGTATATTGCTGCATAAGTAAGGAAAGTTGTTGACGATTGAAATGTTAAAGCCATCAGATTTATCATAGAATTTGATTGTGAGATTGCCATTAACGTCTATTTCAAGTAAAACATCCAAATATGAAACAGATGTGCCAGACTCTGTGGTATCTTTTGTCTGAAGCTCACCAGGATATATCGTATCGACAGATGAACGCAAATTACCGTTGTTAATTGATAATACGTCGTCGATATATCTAAATGTCGAGTTGATGGCGTAGCAAGTGTTTTTCTTTTTTTCACGCATAAGATATTGGACAAATTCTGCTTCATATGAATACAAAAATATGTCTGCTAATAACGGGGCGGCATTGGTACCCATGGAAATTCTAATAGATTGTTTGAAGACCTTGTCTCCAAAAACAACATAGATATTGTCAACTCAAACATCTTTTTGATGTCAACGTCATTGTACTTGTATGTACAATCAAAATGTTTTTAACAAAATAATTTTGCAAATGACAAAGTAAGTAAATTTAAGAGTTCCATTTATATTTATAAAAGCAGCTGTCTGATATCAAAAAGTCTGGACTTAAATGTATCGTGGGGAATGATTGTGTATAAAGTTGAAAAGTCGTTCGTTTTTAAATTGTTGATTTTGGTAAAATCTTGTGATTTTAAATTGTCCAAAAGTTCCTAGGAAATTTTAATATCCACATTCTGATTTACACCACTTCTTGAACATATTGTTGCACAGTACTCTTGAAGTTTCTCCTTCACTTCTGTTAATATCTTAGTGCGGAGTAAAGAAAGAGGCTTATTTGAAGATGTACTGGAACCCGCTATGTATCTTTGTAAGGATTCGTATGAAGTTTCGGAATCCAGTATAGATAAGGCAGTTCAAATTTATTTTAGCTGAAACAAAAGTAATGCTATATGTATATCCCTAATTATATTTAAGAGCATGTTCTTTGTACGATCAATTTTTTAACAGGGACAGGCTACTGACAAACTAGCTAACATTACAGAGTTTCAACAATATTAAGTCAGGACTTAGCAAATTCGAAGACATTTATAATGCACTAATTTGCAAATACAAACTATTAATGCATCGTATCTTGACCGATATTTCCCCAACTATTGTAAGGTAAACGTGTTTTTACCATTTCGAATAACCTTGTTAATATAAATGGCTCAAGGCGGGTGTGACGGTGAAAAGAGGATGTTCTCCTATTTGGCACTTCACTCGACCCCATCTCTAGTATTCCTAACAGTCCATGGTTTGTCCTGTTTATGATTTGAATTCACTATCAAATTTATAAGTCAGTTTCTTCTTCGACTGTTTTTTTTAAAATGTTTGTTATAAGTTATAATCTGAAAATTATAATGTCTGTTCATCGACATCTTAATTGTTCACTTGGAATATTAGACGTTTTAGATTTTTGTTAAATATCAGACAGCTTACTCCGGTTGAGGCTTATTTTATCAGAATTAGTATGTTAATAGAAAAAGTTTATCTTTGGACGGTTTTGGAGATATTACTAATAAAGACAAGCTAAAAAAAATATTTAAAAAACAACTTTTTTTCTTCCTTGCAGTGCTTTATCTCATTAGTAAGTGTTGTCTGCATGGCAGAAAGAAATCTGCTTTGCAGAGTCGGATTTTTTAAACAAGCTGAAAGTAAGTATTTTAATATGCTGATAAAAAGTCCTTTACACTTAAATACATGTAGGGGGTTTATTAAATAAGTTTATTTGCATGTTCATCCTTAGACACGTTAGCGTTCGCTAGACACTAATAAACAACACTGAATCTCTGCATAAAAGTAGCCCTGCAATTACTCCGTCTTCTAATTATCTCTAACTAGCTTTTGTAATGAAAAAAATAAATCTCCGAGAAAGTATTCTCTTGAAGCGTCTACAAAGATTAAGTGTCACTTACTTGTCTATAAATATACATCTGTAATTAACACTAAGTCAATAAAACCTCATCCCTTACAATATAAAGACCTTAAGAAACTCTAATACACTGTTAATAATGTTACTTTCAAGAAAAGTTTTTCCAGGAAATTATTTTAATTAAACATTTGAATCCTTGTATGTTGCGTCAGAAGAAGTAATTAAATTAACACCAGCTCATACCTTTTCTCCACCTTCACCGTTAAAGCGGCGAAAGTAAACATAAAACAGAACGCCAATATGCACGTGCACATGAATAGAAATAATTTCATAAATATAAAAAAAAGAGACTCGTTAACAATTCGGTTTGCTTTTAAGAGCAAATGCCTGCGTTTATCGTATTAAAGCCAATGGTCGTCTTTTCTTTGGAGTCAGTCAGTGGTACTTTATGAAAGACCAGAATCCAATAGCCCATAAATCACTACAATTATATGACCAGAGATGTTTTATATTGGATTTTTCTCTCCTACTCAATTCATTGAACATGTATTTCTAATCTCCGCTTTTTTAATCAATTCCTGAGAACAATTGTCTAATAGCTATGTGGTTAATGAGGTCGGGTAAAATAGGCGAATAACATGTTAATCCTTTAGCAGAGTAATTGTGGGAACACGACGGAATCCAACTTTATTGGAGACCTGTTAACTTAGTTAAATATTTGTAATTTTAAGCGTTAAACATGCTGATATATTGGGTAATTGCCCTCTGACTTCATCTGTATGTCGACTTTGGGTAAACAATTTACTGGAAGCAAATTAGAAATTAAACTCAAAGCGCAACGATGGAGCAACCTGCACCATAACATGAAACAGAGATGAATATATGCCTCGTCAAAACATACATTACAATCTTGTGTTTATGCAAAATAGAGAATGAAAGATAGATCATAGATGATGACTTAATAAAATTATGATCAAGCAGAATAGATGCAGAAATATATCTCTCTGCTTGAGAAAATTCGTACAGATGAAGCACAGAGCTACAGATCCATGCCTTGTAAAAACCTTCGATTTACGTCGACTTTTTTTTGTCGCTCACCTAAGGTATTATTTCTTGCAGTTTATGCTTTCCTTCGCTATTAGAGTGGTTTCCGAAAATTAATCTTACATTTTACTCCAATTCTTCATACTTTCTTTACCATTCAACAGTCCGAAACAGTCCTTTCATGGTTTTGGAATGTCAGTTTAAAAGATTTCCATTTCTTCCTCCACTTTCACAAACATCCCTCGTAATCGATGGAAAGGTAAATAAACATTAGGAATTAAATGTATGGTTAATTATCGGATATCATTTATATAAAGCTGGGGAAAACATACAATATAAGAAATAAAACCTAAAAATACCTGAAATGAGCGACAAAAAAACCGGCGGCGAAAATCGAAGGTTTTCACAACGCTTGGATCTGTTAGCTTTCTGTTTTATCCGTCCGAATTTTCTCAAGCAGAGAGCTTCAGACCTACAGCTACAAGCAGAATAGCTCTAGATGTTAATTTTGGTCAGGGGAAAAGGTTTCATCGAAGTATATTTCTGTCAACGCCTTGTTGCCGAAAATCCTTATGTTACCAATGATTAGCCACAAATACATGTATCGTAAGGGTATAGGATAAAATTTGCAGCTCTCCACCGGCAATTGGTGGCGTCTCCATATGAGTGAAAAATTCTTGAGAGGGACGTTAAACAATTTATCAATCAAAAAGTTTAACTTTTACTTTTCAACATGCAAGTCGTTTTAATTCGACGAGTTGTTAAATTATCACTCAATCATGACAAGAAGCACAAACTTCAAACAATGTCAATACTCATACCCAGGTATATGCAAATATCCGGATGTTCTTAACCAAATAATTTCTTTCCTCTTTGACTACATATTAAGATACAGTAAACCATACAAACGTTTCAATGGCCACAACTTAAAACAAAAGTTTCAATGGCCACAAGATAAATTGATTTTGAAATTGCAAATTTCTACCTGACGAATGAATAAAATGAACCCCGTTTTGATTTGTCAACATTTTCCTCATTAATTGTAATGCTTGCAACATAACAATGCTATAAGATGATGGGGGCTTTTTAAATGTTA